CGGGTACCTGCAGGGCTTGGGCCTGCTTCCCAACCCACCAAGACCCACATCCTCCTTATTTACCTTGTGAAGAGCTCTGGAGCTCAGGTTAGAGAAGGAGAGCAGGCCGTTCTATTCCTGGGCCTGTGCTTTGATGTCCACCATTTCTAGGATCTAACCAAACACAAGCTCTAGAAAGTTGTGCAGCGGTCCAGAGCTCATGTTAAGGAAGCAGAGCAAGCTGCTCCATTCCTGGGTCACATAGTACAATCCCAGAAGCAGCCACCATTTTTGGAGTGCCCACAATTCAATGCGGCCATCCTGAAAAGGGTGGCCAGTTCCAGGATCATGTCACATGGAGTAAGGAGGAGGGTATGGGGCCCAATGAGGTGGAAGTAGGAAAGGTCTGCAGGGACACCAAGAGGCAAGTTATCTCGGGTTGGATGAGTCTTTGGGAGGCCCAGAGCAGTGTTTGTACTAGGCCTCCCAGGGCCTTCCTGGGGCTCCTTAATAATTCCATATTCTGCTTAATTATTTACATGTTTATTTAATGATCACATTGCGAAGAATAGGGATGGGGGCATCATAAGTTAAGCGATCACATGGTCAAGGACTATCTATATATAGATATATACACACACATGCATACACACACACACACACACACAGAGAGAGAGAGAGAGAGGAAGTACCAAAAGTCACATCTCATTACCCAGTCAAAATATGTCTTATTAATACCTCCTTTCAGAGACAATATTTTTATACTTAAGAATGCCATGCATCAAAGTAGTAAAGGAAGTCTTTAGAAGAAATGGCAACCAAATCAAATATTTAATGAAATTTAATAAAAAAATCTATAGGACCTGACTTTAGATATATTCTATATAGTATCTATATATTTGTATCATCATCGGCTACAGTTGTCATTTATCCTGTAATTCTATACATTTTTTAAAGATTATTACAATTCCCCAAGAATCTGCTACAATAAATATCCATGTTTAAGATGCTACAAAATTTGTATCCGTTCTAATAAATTATTATAGTTAGAAATCTTGAACCATGTATATACTTACTTGTGAGTAAGTCTCTCTGAACTTTCATTTATATATTCCTTTAAAAGTAAATAGAATTGCATCTCAAAAGTGATTTATCAACATTTTAAAATGCACTATTTCTTTTCTATTTCTATTTCTTTGCCATAAATTCTTTATGCAAATTGAATTGTTATTTAGACATAGGTTATAATTATTGATGTAAATGTTATAGGCCAGTCATGTTATTAGGCTTTATGTCTTAGCTGTAATCTTAAACTGGATTGTAGACTTTTTTAGCAATAGCTTGATGCTGTGCCCATGAAAAATAACTTCTAAAGATTTCAGTTTTTTCAGATAGAAGTGGTAATATAGAACATATAGTAATAAGTGTGACCACATATATACAATTGCTGCTATGATTATAAAATATTTGAGTATTTCTCTATATCAATTTTCTCAACAAAATGCTAACATATCAACTATTTGTGTGCTACTCTGTAGCTAAAGTTTATCTCTAATTCCTTACATGATTTTTCTGGCAGATTAATAGGTCTCATCTCACATTTCTTCCTTTGAAAAAATACTGCACATTATCACTTCAGATCATTAAGGTTGTGAATCTTTTAAGACTTCAACCTGAATAAGAAGGCCTATTCAAGTTGTTTTTTATCATTTTGTGAATTGTTGCATATGAAATCTGTGTGGTTCTCTAAACCTGGTAGAGCTGGAAAAGAACAAGGAACAGAGAGGAGGCAAAACAGGGTGACAATGTTCAATTATGGGAGTAATTATGATTATCTGGGTTTCAAAACTAAGTAGTGTTGGGCCTTATTAGTACTTAGATGGAAAACTTCCAGGGCATAGCAGGGCTACAGGCTACACTGAAAAGACAGAGGAAAAACAAAGAAGATAATTGCAAATAACATCTGAATTGCTGCCAGAGAAACCCTACATAGATTTAAGCATAATTTAAAGAACATGTTCATATCGTATTATCCTGAGTAGCTTTCTTCAAGTTTCAAGATGAAGAAAAATAAATTGAAATATCCATGCAATAACCAGAATATAAACCGCCATTGAGATTAATAGATTCAGATTTTCAAGCTGATTCTGGAAACTTAAACAATTTGTGGATCTTTCCTATGTTCATTACATGCATTTCATTTTTTTAAAATGCATACGCAGCAGCATGAAAAACAGCACAGCTTTTATCTCAAGATATCTGAACATCACAGAACAAAAATGTTTGCCTCTTTTTCTTGAATGTCTCAGCTCCACAGGGAAGACCTCAACATTACAGCAAAGCCATATTTTGCCTCATTTATATGCAAACAGCTTAGAATAGCTGAAACAATTTTAATACAATCATTTTGCCAAAAAAATGTTAATACTCAGGAAATTGTATAAACATTGCTACTAAGAGATAACAGGGTTGTGTCCAAAATGGGGCCACTCAAAACCAAGAGGGAGGTATACATGTGCTCTGTAGGACTTTGAGATTTGCAGGAGAATGAGAAACCAGGAGTGGAGGGAGGTGATCAGTCAATCCCCAAATAATCCACTAAGAACAGGCCATATTTACTAGCCACAGAATACTGAATAGCTGTTGGGCATTTATAGCAAGAGGTGAGGAAACAACCTGAAAACTGGAATCCTGACCTGTAATATTGTATTGAAGATCCCCCTATGGATACTGTAAATGAAAAAATATGAGATATCAGGAAGTATCAGTTGAAAAATCGTACACCAACAGTGTGTGTGTTTCTGGGCAGCATATGAATAAATGCATAAATACAAGGTTATGGGTTTTAAACAGCAGCGGCTCATGTTCAAAGTTGCCCTATAGCACCTATTGGAATTATTTCCATATATGAACCCATTCTAGACAGCCCAAGATGACTTCTTCTGTTTAAACAGCCACTGATATCTCACACATACAGGGAGTAGTTCAGACTCGATGCACTAAAGCTGGGGTTTTAATCACATTAGTACACAGGCCATAGATCATAGCAGGCATACAAAATTGGTGCTGTTCACCTCAATAAAACCTTGCATTATCCTGAACTGAAGCATAGTCCCCATGCAGGGTGAGCGGAATTGGTCTGAAAACTTACTGCTAGTATTGACTTTTTGTAGTTTGCCTTCCTCATAAATACTGAAAGGAGCTACATGTCTATCCAAATATTCTTTAAAAAAACAAAAACAAAATCAGAACAGTTTGCAATATCGACATTAAATCTTTGCCCAAAGAAAGAAGCCATTTGAGGGCTGTTTGCTGAAGCAGCCACTAAATGCCTAGGTCAGTGGTTCTCAACCTTTTTAATGCCGCGACCCCAACCGGTCGTAAGTCGAGGACTAAACCGGTCGTAAGTCGAGAACTAAACCGGTCGTAAGTCGAGGACTATCCAACCGATCGTAAGTCGAGGACTGTCCCTGCCAGGGAGCGCCGCGCATGCGTGGTTCCGCCCCCTGCACCGGCCAAGGCATAGCTGGCAAGCGGCAGAGACGGAGCAGGCCGACCACCAGCTGGCCCAGCCCAAGGGAGGTAAGGCACCCGCCGGAAAAGGGAAAAAAATGGCGGACAGCCTTGCTTGGCGACCCCCGTGAAATGGTCGATCGACCCCAAATGGGGTCGCGACCCATAGGTTGAGAACCGCTGGCCTAGGTGGACAATTATCTAGAAAGAAGTACGTTCTAACAGCTAAATCCAGACAATGTGGATCCATTCCTTACAAGTAGCAAATACTCAAAAACAGGCTAAGAGAGAGGCTCAGATCTGGTATAAAGCTGTTTGTGCCTTCTAATATCTACCAGCCCACATTAAACAAGATATACCCTTATATCTTGCCTTAAACTGCTTGACTCCTGGAAATGAAGTCCATTTAAAAAAAATTTATCCTGATTTCTGCCTCTTCCTCTATTCTGGCCAGTGATGGCCAGGTACACTACCTGTGTTGAATTCCCTGATTCAGTTCTAGTCCCACCCCTGCCTAGGAAAGAAATTCCCAGCTGCTTTCTTTAAAGACATGTGGTTTCAACTGAGACCTTTTCTATGAGTTGCATCCACTGTTTCTCTCATATTCAACACCTTCCCATTGGATGCATCCTTTGGTGGGTGGGTAGGAAAGAAGGAAGGCGTCATTTTATTACCCTTCGATACAACTAGCCTGGAAAGGAAAACTTGCCATTTTTAATTTCACCATTCTATTAGTGAACTCCTTAAGAAAGAAAAGAAACACCACACGGTTCACTATTATTCCACCAGTGGACACCTTAAAACAAAACAAACACTCCCCAGCTTTTGAAAGAGCAAACAAAACGAAGTTCCCTAGTTAAGGTCCACTTAGAAAGGGGGCAGGCAGGTCAGGACAAAATTTCCATGGAGGGCAGAGACCAGGGACAGAGGGGAGAAATGACAGAGGGGAGATCCAGTTGGAGGGGAGGGGGTTCTCGTCGACACAAATTAAACACACTAAAGATAGCCAGCAGACTAGGCACACCGCTTATGCCAGCCTCAGTTGGAAAACGTTATTTTTGATGCCCGATAGGAAAAGAAAGCAGACGACTGGGGATAGATGGAAGATGACGCTCAGAGTTGTCTGTTCCCACGAGAAACAGTGGCTTGTTGCTTTCGTTCTGGGGCAACCTGGTTGTGCAGACAGTCGTCCAATATGCATTCAACAAGATCCTACGAGACTGACGAAAAGGCTCTGTTTCAAATGGGGGATAGGATGGCGATCGCGCCTTCTTTGGGGCTTCTGACATATTTAGTCTTTTCCAAAGGAACCGTCGTGAAACGCGCCTCCTCTCCCCGCGTTGCTTCTTTGCCTTGGTTGGGAAGGACGGGGTGGAAGAACAGCCCCCTCCACCAAATGTGGATGTAAGGTGGGGGGGAAAAGATGGGATAACGCGGTCCGGGGGAAACCCGCCCGGCTATCGGCGCCTCTCCAGGTGCTAAGGGCAGGGAAGAGGGGAAAGACTTACCTTCCGTAGCATAGTGTGCAAGCAGCGGCTGGGGCTCCGGACGCCTGCGACAGGTTCGTCCTCCTCCCGATCGTTCCTCGGCCATTCACCGGAGCATTTCTTGCTGGGAGATTTGGCCAGCCCAAGGAGCGCACATTTCATGCCCGCCGTGGCTACGGCTGCCAGACCCGAGCCCTCGCCCGCATATGTGTGGGGGACACACAGGGCAGGTCCTCCCAAAGCCAGAGTTGCTTCCTTCGGGAGCAAGCGCGGGGCTCGCCGATGGTGGCGGGGCCGCCGTGGGCTCAGGGAGGCAGAGCGAGTCTATCGGACTGCAGCAGCAGCAGGAGCCCTCCTCAACGGACTGGAAGCAAGGAGCTCAAATGAGCGATTGGGCGGTCCCGCTGCCTCCTCCGCCGCCGCTTCCCTCCTCAGCGCGCCGCGCGAGGTCCTGCACGCGCTCAGAGGCCAACGCGAGGGTCCCCCGAGAATGTGGGCACGCGCGCCCCCGCCGAGATTCGCAGCGAAGAAAGACAGCCGGCGAAACCCTGGAGCGGAGGGCTTTACAAAAGGCAGGGCGGGTCGGGGGGCGGGGCTTGGCTGTGGAGCGTCAGCATGCAATCCCTCCCCCTCCCTCCCGCAACATACACAAAATCACCTCCACTCAATCAGAGAGAGAAAGGCACGGAGGTGAGGTTGTGCTCCCTTCCATTACTAATGGAAGATGTGCTATGCTTGAGAATGCCGTAGACTTTCTTCGGGCAGTGCTTGCCTCCCCAACGCGTCATAGGGTGAGTTCCCAGCCACACTTTTTGCTCTTGGGCAATTCTACACAAGCATATTTAACAAGCGCGCTGAGCCCGGAGTGTGAAGATCCTCTCAGTAGTCACTGGCCGTTCGCAAAAACCCGAGCCTTGAGTACACTGAAAGATTGTCACCAGGGCTTGCAGTGCGAAAGACTGTGGACGGTCCCACGTTACAAGCGCCTCTCCTGCCAGCTCGCCGGTGCCTGATGTACATCAATTTGTAACTCAAAGACGGTTGCAGCTGTAAGCATCCTGCTTACCCTTTCCCTTGCCTCCTGGGGTTGGGTTCTGGGGCTCAGATACAGGTTTCGGAGGGAAGTGATCTCTGAGACGCCTGATTGCAATTCTTTCTTGCTTCTGAGCAAAAACCAGCAGCTTGGCTTGATTTGGCTCAGAGTATTGTAAATCCCAATCTCTGATTTATAAACCTGAAAGGGCCTAAGTTGAGCATAGATAAAACGTTTAATTTTTCCTACTGATTTACTATCTGTGCGCACTCTAAACCAGGGGTAGTCAACCTTGGCTCTTTTATGACTCGTGGACTTCAATTGAAGTCTGCTCTAAACTAATGTCACACAACTTGCTGGACTAAAATTTGGTTGACTGTGTGCTTCACTGTGCTGCTCTGTTAAATGAATGATTGTTGTGTAATTAGGGTTAGCATAGGATCAACAAAACAATTCTGATAAATACTTTAATATCATTTATGCTGGTCTATGACTGTAATAAAGATTGTACTTGACTACTGTAAAGTTTTTAACAGTAATTTATCTATACAAGGCATAATATCTGGTTCACTAGCCCTCAGAGGAGATTCTATTATTTTTGCCTGGTGGGCATATTTGGAAAATTGGACACCTGATGTAGTAGACTTGTTTGCAAAATAATTTTCTTGGAAAATATTTATCATTATGAGGCACCTATATAATTCCTGTTGCCGCCACTTTGCTGGTCTTTATCCTGGTTCAAGGCACATTGGCACACTTGTAATGGAAACCAGGTACTGAGGTGAAATCATCCAGCTGGTTTGAATGTCATGTTGGGATCCAGAATTATTTCTTGAAAAGTAGGTGATGTCGGAGGCTGGTGTTTTTCATTGGAACAGGCCACCTCTCCACTTAAAAGAAGATATATATATATATATATTTATTTAAATATCAGGAAGCTTTGTGGGTACCAAGGGCAATCTAAGGGCACAATAACAGCCTAAGAAGTGCTATTGTAGAAGCTCCAGCATTAAGTGATTTAACCTTCAATAATACCAGTATGAGAGAACAATACACACAACCAACTTGCACAGACACTCTTCTTAAACACGATGTCACCAGAATTACAACATATTTCACATATTTCATATTTAAGTCATACTTAACTGGTTTATTGAATAAATCCCAAATGATTGGATTTATTCAATATGCTAAATCATAAATCAAATTTTACAACTAGAATAGAATAAAAACTTTATTGTCACATTAATTGTACACTAATCAGCATACATTAAAATGAAATTTTGTTGTATTCAGCTCTAAAAAAAAATACCATTACGCATTTACCTAGATACACATACATATATGACACAGAGAAAACATGACAGTCTAATTCGAATGTATGCAGATACATGATGAAAAAAAAAAAGAATCCTGCGAATTTACAAGATGGATGGCATAAGGAACAAAGCTGTTGCAGAATTTAGTAGTGCTCTATACACTTCAAAACCTCCTCCCAGATGGGAGCTACAGAAACAGACTGTGAAGTGGGTGTGTGGGGGGTCTCTAACAATGCTTTGAACTCTAAGCACATAGCACTTATAGGCAGCATCCTGAATAACAGGAAGTGAGCTTCCTATGATCTTCTCATCTGTCCTTACCACTCTCTGTGTGGACCTTCTATCTGAGGCACTGCTGCCACCAAACCAAACAGTGATGCAGTTTGTTAAAACATGCCTCTGTAAAAAGTGGCCAGGACAGAAGAAGAAAGATGTGCTGTTTTCATCCAAAGCAAGAAATGCAAACATTGGTTTGCACGCTTCACTAAAGATAATGTATGAAGAGACCAAGTCAGATTGTTAGTTATCTGCACCCCCGAGGTACTTAATACTATTGGACTACAAATACGTTTTGTTTGATTTTGCTTAACATGACATGTGAACAAACTCAGCAAGTACAGAAGAGATAAATCAGCTAGAAAGAAACAGAATTCTACAAATATTGCAATATATACTAAAACAAAACTTTTAAAAGTATGGATTCCAGTGAAAGGATCTCCATTTCAAAGAAAAATAAAGGTCATTAACATGTGGCTCAATATTATTCATAAATAGCAGTGTCTGCAGGGTAAGTGTCAAGGTGGCTGAGGCTGGCAAAAACAACCTCACGATGCAAGCCCACCCCCAACATTCATGCATGACCTTAACAACAGCACAACACTGATGACAAAGCAGGAAAATCCTGAAAATATTGCTATTTGTGCAGTAGTTCTCTAACCAGGTCCTAGGATTTCTGTTTGATTCCAAAATTCTAGGTGGCCAATCTTAATTCCTCTAATTATAAAGCCATACATTTACTATCCCCCATATCGAAAAAGCAAATTGTTAAAATATACAATAATACTGTCATTTTGTATTTTTTTGTAGAACAGTTACTGTTCCTGTCTTTGTAATTTAGGTGGTTAGTAGATGCTGTAATAGTATCAGGTGATTTTATACTCAAACTTGATCAGACTGGAAAAGAAAAGAGCTTTGCTGCTATGGCAACATGCTTGAATTGTTACTTGCATGAAATGCTTTGAAGAGTAGCAAATGCTCTTGGGTTGAAGACAGCCTAAAAACAAACAACCATTGTGCCAATGATGCTTTTACCAAGAAAACAAGATTTAATGCAATTCTAGAATCAATGCAATCATATGGATGTTTATTCTGGAATCAATACTGTTATATCACAGACATTCATGGCTTTTCTCCATTGCTGAGTTATCCAAAAAATCTATTTGCTGTCCCCGCTGCTAATCTTATGCTACCTCTATTATCTTTAGAGTTGCCTTCCATCTAAGAAAAGTCAAGCAGATTTTTTTACATGTTGAAATCTTTTTTATATGTTGAAGCTATTTTCCAGTAGTATAAGACTAAGGCGGAAACACTACTTTAAAACTGGTACAGCTAAGAGCAATTTAAAGATGCCTGACTCATGGATTGTCGATGAAATAAAAGAATATCAAGAATTGGTGTGGGGGGTAGCATTTTCACAGTATGTTTGTGCTGTGGTTACTACAGATCTAAGTAGGAAAAGGCCCTTTGGAGCAGATAAGAGTGCGCTGGTTGTGGGAGGATATCTATGGCTCTTCAGATGTTGCTATACAGCAACATTTCTCAACTTCAGCAACTTTAAGATGTGTGGACTTCAACTCCCAGAACAACCATCCAGAGAATTTTGAGAGCCGAAATCCACACTTCTTAAAGTTGATGAGGCTGAAAAATACAGATATAAATATTCCAATTCCCATTATGCCCTGCCGAACAAGAATCCTAAGAAAGATATTTGTATTTTGAAGAAGAAATCAAATAATATTTATTTGCTTATAAAATGTATAGGCTGCCTATCTTACCTTGAGGTAACTCTGTGCAGCTTATAATCATAAAAAATAAAAACTATATGAACTGAACATATAAATAAGATAAGATAAAATCAAATAATCCTGTTACGCATTATTTTATGTTGTATGTGAGGCTGTCATGTAATCTGCATATAATGGACTATGAGAAAATTTTGTACCAGCTAAGCTTTATGAAGTTTAATTCTACAGTTGATTTAGGAGAATAAGGAAGAGCTGGATTTGGGAAAAAGGACTGCCTAGCAACTCTAGAAATATTGCTTGATCTCCTTATTATGGCCTTGCCTTCTATTTAAGCTAACTTCGAATCGTTTACTGGAACTGGTACTCTAATGTTATCTTTTCTGTTATAGGTATTTGAGAGGTTTTAATGAAATCTCATCTTTTAGATCAGTGGTTCTCAACCTTTTTAATGCCGCGACCCCAATCGGTCATAAGTCGAGGACTAAACCGGTCGTAAGTCGAGAACTAAACCGGTCGTAAGTCGAGGACTAAACCGGTCGTAAGTCGAGGACTACCCAACCGGTCGTAAGTCGAGGACTTTCCCTGCCCGGGAGTGCCGCGCATGCGTGGTTCTGCCCCCTGCGCCGGCCGAGGCGTAGCTGGCAAGCGGCAGAGACGGAGCAGGCCGACCACCAGCTGGCCCAGCCCAAGGGAGGTAAGGCACCTGCCGGAAAAGGGGAAAAAAATGGCGGACAAAAAAAATGGTGGACAAAAAAAATGGCGGACAGCCTTGCTTGGCGACCCCCA